TGATAAAAGTTTTCTGAAATTAGAGAGTGGTGATGGGTGTACAACTCTATCAATAAACTAAAAACAACTGAATCATAAACTTTAAAGTTGAACTTTATGGCATGTGAATTATATCTCAATAAATCTGCTATTTAAATTAGAAAACTCATGAACATTATCATGTATTATCATAAACAGATATATAACAAAATATATTTTTTATAGAAGATCAATAGCTTAGTTTAACTTTAAATCACTTTCCAGTGCTTACATTTGTACATATTCTTATCTAGCTAAACATTTAGGCATATATTTATACGTTGAAAATTTGTACTCAATGAGTAAGGGTCATTTTAATTTGTATATTTTTTAGAGAAAGTTGTTTTTTCCTCCCAGAAATTGCTGTTTATTATAAAATTGTGTTAGTAATATACATGACTAGCATAAATAACTGTTTCTACATCTTTAAAATTCCTATTACATTATCACATTATCCACTTAAAGGAAATATGGGACTGTTGACTTAAAATGAAGCTGAGTGTTGAGAACTTTGGAAAATGTCAAGTTGTTTTGATGCAGTAAGTTTCTCACTAAAGTTATTCTATTCACTACACTGCTATGGAGCATACTAAAGTTACTGATGCTTTGCAAGGTAAAATAAATAAATAAGTAAGTAAATAAATAAATAATTGACAGTAACTTCATCTCTTAGTTATGTATTTTAAAAAACTCTCTCTAAATATCTATATCTTATCTGTATCTATACACCCACCTATGTGTGTATATGTGTATATATATACATGTGTGTATGTGTGTATATATATATATATACATAAAATTGTTGAACCGAATATTAACAAAGACTTTTATTTTACTAGTTCTACATCCCTCTGTAAACTCTAAAAGGAAAGAGGATCTTACATGTCAGAATGCTTAATGTTCACGAAAAATCCAAACACTTGTCAAATAAAACAAATCCTAACTTAGGAAAACAGAGATTTTGTTCAAAATTGCAATAGGAAGAGTGCTTGAACCTCAGGATCTGCAAGCATCTCTAAATCAAGCCCAAAAGCCCTCTTTACTAGGGAGAGGAAGGCAGGAGGAGCAGGAACATTGTGGAGAGCAGGGCAAGCAGGTGAGCTGAGCAGATGGAAAAGCCAGAGCTTTTCTGCAGGAACTGCATCTCTCTGCAGTCAGCCAAGTCTCAGAGTGAACTGTGAAGACACCCTGTTTTGCACCTTAGTGCTCGTTAAACTTGGGGCAATCCAAAGCTTGGAGCCTGTGAGGCGGAGAGAAGCCTGATTGACAAATCTGTGGTGAGTAGTGGATGATTGCCATCACTTAGTCACTCACAATTATGTTCAAGAGTTGATTATGAAAGACAGACAGACATACATAGAATAATAACAGTGGGCATCAACTACTCTCTGGGAGGCCATCCCTAATGACATTGATGTAATTGCACAAAAAATGATCTCCCTCTCCCTATAAATCCTGCAAAATGTATAAGATTTTACTGTTTAATCTCCCTACAGCTAATTTTCAAATCGTCTCTCTGTTTCATCGTTGAGGTATACTATTTATCTAATAACAGCCATCATTATACTTCCTAAGAGTATGGGTTTGGGATCAGAAAGTCCAACTTCATTCTGTTCAGTAAAAGTAGTGAGAACGTTAGATGAATTGACTCAGAGTCTCAGATCTGAATTGTGTAATTTTAAAATGATTTAAAAACGTCTTTCATACAACATTAAAAGACTGATTTCAAAAAACAACACGGTGTGCCTGAGAGAGAGAGAGAGAGAACAGAGGGGGAGAGAGAGAGAGAGAGATTATATCTTACCCCTCCTTCTTTCAAACTTTATTAATGGGAAAATCAGTATTTATCAGACCAAGCGTTGAGTTTCCTTTATTGTCATAGTCAAATAGGGAATTGTCACAGTTTGGGGCAAGTACATATTCAGAGCATTGATTTTTCTCTTTTTGCAAAAACACGCTTATATTGTTTACATATCTTGGAAAAATGTGTCCAAATATTTTGATAAATTTTTGGTAAAACGTGGATAAGCTTAATATTGCTTCAAATTTAACAATTAATATTTTGGTTTAAATGTCTATATTTATTACTTGTAAGATAACAATAACAAATTATTGTTAAATTTGCACTTATTTTTTATTGAGTTTCAATCTATCCAATAACCACATCTTTTGTTTTTTCTTTAGTAACTTCTGCCACTTCATGTGTCAAAATCTTAATACTGTCATGAATTCATTGAATTGTTTATTAAATGAAAATATTAAATTTTGCCACTTACACATCTCAAGTATATTCCCCAATCTATTTTCTTCTTTATCTGATAATGAGGTTTAGAGACATGTAAACATTCTTAATAATAATAATGTGTTCAAATTTGTTGTAACTAATGTCAATGTGTTATCATTTTTATTTCTTCTTTTATTTCCAAGACAGACTGTCCCAGCTGTAGAAGTTTGATAAATATCCAGTACTCTTTGTCTTTCTCTCATTGATTTTTTAAGTATAGTTCTCTCCTTTCTAAACTCAAAATGATTTAATTGGCACGAGAAGTTGTTGAATCCATAAATTGAATTATTTATCTAACCATCAGATATTGGAAATTACTCCCTTCTCAATTTTCACTTCATGACTCCTTTATCTAGGCTACAAAAGTTAGAGCGATGGGTACTGGAAAGTAGTTTTATGTAGGAAAATAACATGATCAAGTAAGGACTTTGAAAATCTCTAGTTATTCACAATGAGAAACTACTTCACTAGGAATTAGGGAAGTTAAAAATTAAAAAGTTTGACAATACCAAATGTCAGTAGGAATGTGGAGCAACTGGAACTCTCATACATTGCTGGTGAGGCCATTAAAATGGTGCAAACACTTTGGAAACAATGGTTAGTATTTCTAAGAGACTTTTAGCAGATTAACTTTCAAAGTGAATTTTTTTTTTGTCAGACAAAAGAAAATATCCACACGTGTTGTGTTATTTTTAATTTATTTCTTTAATAAATAATTACTATTGATCTGTGCATATACATACACACAACACACACACACACGCATACATACACAGAGTAGGTAGGGGAGAGAGAGAGACTTTAAATCACATAGCCAGCTGAAGATGCTGCAGGGCAATTTATACCATCATTCTCTCATTTTAACTTATCAAAGTACAAAACTGTAAATACACACACATATACACACACAAAACACATGTATATGTATACATGTATGTCTTTCTAATGTGTATATGTATATATCAAACACATTTATATATAATGTATATATCATACACATATATGTAGAAGTGAAATACACGTGTGCATGTGATAGATTTCTTACTGCTTGTATTTTCAAATAAATCAGTACAAATGTACATGACACATAATAATTAAAGCATATATTTGAGAACCAGATATCCTAGGTTAAAATCTCAGCTCTGATGCTTACTTTAGGAAATTTCCCTATGGGCCTTTTGTATTTCTGCACAGGCTGTGAGTAGAGACATAGACTATGCTTTGAGACTCTCTTTTCAAGGATGTTAGTATAGTGAACAGCTCTGGAAAAGAGAGAAAGCGTCTTTCTTTAAAACAAAGGGCAGATTTGTTAATTGTCTTGAAAAATTAGAGATACTGTCCCTTTCCAAAGCAAAGACAGTCATACTTATTTCCCGTAATATTTGGGTTGCCTGAGCACAGGCTTTTCTCTCGTGATGCAAACCATACATGTGCAGGCCTCCATCTTGACCCATATTTGTTGCCCTCTCTGGACTTTTTGGCAAGACAAATTGAGAAAAATATGCTGAATTTCATATGTTAGCTCCGCCATGAGTAATAAAGCCCTTTGTTTCCAAGCCAGGAGTCTAATTTCTTCTACCAGTATCCATAAAATTGTGTTAGACCAACTCATTAGCTTCTAAGTGGAGTAACAGCTTAGAGCCTTCTCAAATATTGTCATTTACTGGCTCTATGACTTTGGACACTGTAGTACTAATTTCCTAGGGCTGTTGTAACAAAGCACCAAAAAATGGATGATTTAAAATAACAGAAATTTCTTCTGTCATTGTTCTGCAGGCTAGAAATCCAAAATCAAGTTGTCAGTAGGACCACGCCCCATGCTTCCTCTAACACTCTAGGTGGAATCCTTCCTTGCCTCTTCCTAGGTTTTGGTGGTGGCTGTCCATCCTTGGCGTTTCTAGGATTCCAGGAATCTGCAATGATTCTATTTCCAAATAAATTCACATTCTGAGGAACTAAGAGTTAGGTCTTCAACATATCTTTTTGAATTTTGGACATAATTCAACCCATTACAGACATGTTATATAACCTCTTAGTAACTCAGGCATCTCATCTGTAAAGTGAGGGAACAATTATTATCAACATGATGGGATTAAATGAATTATTATAAGTAAACTTCTTGGATGAAAACCTGTGCTAGCTTTTATTATTATTATCATCATCATCATGTACACATATGCATACATAACTAACAGAAACATCCTCGTGGGAAGACAGAGATAGTGAAGCTGTAAATAATTTAAAATTTGATTAAGTATTAAATATATATTATTGCAATCAACAGTATATTCTCAATGTTGTAATCTTGCATTGATTCAACATGCACATTTTCACTTAGTTCTGTTCAAACTATGCATATATAAAGTGAAACCCTGGTATTTAACAACCTAAAGTGAGAATAGGGATTTTGAATTCAAGTGTATTATACATATGGATAGGAATTCTGAGAGCTTTAGAAAATGTCAAGTTGTTATGCATTTACTAAAAATTATTGATGTAGCTCTTGACAAAACAAGTATAGTAACACTTGTTAAAACTTAAGAATGTGTAATAAAACTAAGTAATAATTATATAAATGTAATCTCACTTAGATATTACTCAAGGACATTGTAAAGACAATACCTCACATCTCTGATTTCAAATAATATGTTTTCTAATTAATCATTGTTGTAATCCCTGGCTTCTTCTCTTGCCCCAGGCCTCACCTTTCTACCCATTTTAACAACAAACCTGCCTGCTATTCTGGAAAGAAGTGCCACTCTCTGTAAAGAGACCCTTCCTAACAAAATGTGTATGTTGTCCCTGTCCTCAGCGAATGTTTTCCGTAAGTCCGACTATGTCTCCAGCATTTCACTTTAGTTTTAGATTACATCATTATTTAATACTTTAATTCACTGTCTTCTACATTGAAGATGGCATGAGTCACACATGCCTTAAAATCGAAATATCAAGATATCCAAAAATAAAAACGATCATTCCCTCACATTCCCAGGAGAAATAATTAAGTGTGTCAAGATGGAATTTATAACCTGTATATTTTGAAAGGTTGTAATTGTAATTCAAAGAATCATTTTACATGATTCGAGTAAGTTAAAGGAAAAACAAATTTAAATGGTTTCTGACTGCAGTATGATTTTGCCTGATGAATTGTATAGAGAAAATGTTTACCTGATATAGATGGTATATTTTATCAATATTTGGACAATTACCGACATTTTGGTCCAATTTACTCAGGTGCCTTTCTTTAATAGCACTGAAAACGCTATTTTAACAAATGGATTTAGATAATAAAAGCCAAGCATATACTGAGGAATAAATCAATATTCCAGTTACTCAACAGTTAAGTATTGATGCATGTGTTACAGTATATATACATATATATTATATAAATTTGGTATATATAATCAAAATTATACATAAAATGCTCTTTTGATATATAAAAGAAATATCTTCTCACAAAATCACTGGTTTAAAGTTTAGGTACAAGTGTCCTGGTTCATAAACCTGTTTCTCCTTTCCTCTTTCAGGACACTTGTTCTGATTAACCTTTAACCTTTTGGGTGATATGCCAAGACACATACCACGCTAGCCCATATTTAGGTTAATTTATAATAGCCAAATAATGTATTTCCATGGGTTTAATAAACTTTAAAGTTTGAAGCTCAAAGTTTTATTATAATATTTTACAGCCTGATTTTTGTTTTCTTTTTTACTATTTTAACCATTCATCCATTGCTTCAATTCTTCAAGAAACTGCAGCAGCTGCCTATGAATGTGTTACTCTCCCCTTCAGTTTTTTGAAATAATTGTATATCACACCAAAAAATAAGAACTTAATGAGAAAATAACAATAAAAGTAGGAGTAAAATGCCAAAGAATCTTTCTACATTATCAAACAAATGAATAAAATCTCTCTTTAAGACAACTTCTTGTATCACACTCCGAAATTGACACTCTACATAGCAACACCAATTATGGTCCAATTATCCATTTAAAAATTTTTTGTATGTAACTATTTCAAGATTTGTGCACCTCAATTTAGTATTTATAAACAAGCTTACATTTCAGAATTCTTTACTGAAGGCGTATACTCAAAATTGGAGCTGTATGCATCACTCGTTAAGAAAGAATAACAAGCCTTAACAAAGTGAGAAAATAATTGTGTGTGTCATAATTGCCACCTCATTTGGATTATCATTGTTTCCAGATTTCCATGTTAAAGTTAAGACAATAACTAGTAAAGGAGAAATCTCAAGGTTTAGAATAAGAACATTTGGAAAAATTTGAAAGACCTGAAATAAATTTGACCCTCTATACAACTCTGATATTCTTCCCATTGTACTTTCTATTCTTGAGAAACCTGATGCTCCTTTGAAGGGGGAAAGCTGTAAAATTTCCATCATGCTCCAAGAATTCTTTTTTCATCTTAGTAACTATGTATTTAACAAATACATTTCCAGGAATAAAATGATGAAAAGAAGAAGTTCACTAATTAACATTTTTGAGAAATGTGTAGGCATGGCTTTGGGGGATTTCCAAACCAGGAGAATGGAATATAACATTGAACCATGCTCAAAGTACATCCATCATGCTACTTTGGGCAGTCGACTATGGTTCTAATTGTTTAATGGTGTTGCTAATAAATCATGAATCAAATGTTGACTCCTGATATGAAACACAAAAGTAAGAGGAAACTCTTTATATAATGTAGAGAAAGTAATTCAAAGACCTCTGAAGATAAAAATGCTACCTGACTATTCCTAATTTTTCCTAACAAGGTCCAAAGTGAATGGTCATAGGGAATAAATTGATGAGAATGGGCAATCTTAAAAAAAAAAAAAAAAAGTTTTACCAGTTGTTTTAGTACACAGGGAATTATGGCTGAAAACGCTGACATTGAAATGAGATCCATAACCTCAATGAGGCTGGAAGGGGTCAAATTTAGCTAATCATTACTGCTAGCAGTTATAGCAAGAAAAAAAGTACATAAAGTCATTAAGCCGACAACAAGAGTGGCACAGTAATTTGATTTTAGGGAGTTGCCCAAAGCAGAGCTATTTGGCTACAGATAATTAATGATGTATTTCCAAAAAATGAAATTTATAGGCAGCCTGTGAATGTCTTACTTGAATTGTATTAGCAGAAACACAGTAAAACAAATTTACCAGATGTAGACTTAGAAATTCTTTTTGTTGTAACAAATTCCTTTTACTTGTTAAGTGGATGCTGAGACATACATCCAGTGATCAAGACCTATATAACCTGGGAGAAGTCATCAAGCCGTCTACCATGATCAAGAATCAATTAGAAGATAACTCAGATCATGTGATGTTGCCTAGCCATGAGGTGGTAATAGATCTTTTCTTTTCTTTTTTTAATTGCAGCAACATTGGATTATAACATTATATAGCTTTCAGATGTACATTGCAGCATATTTCGAATTCTGTGTAGATTACATCTTTTCTTTTTAATTTGGTACATTTACATCCAATTTGCTAGGAGTAAGGCTAAAACCCTAGGTAAATATAATAATAAATGTAGAATTATTAAATAATGTTGGTATTTTTATAATTGTTTTAGGTGTAACCATAGTAGTAACTATAAACAATTTTTACACTTTTGTCATGTTTACTTAGCAGATTAAGGATTTAGAAAAATCATTAAAAAGTGTAGTTTAATATAATTTAATTTTAACAAAAGTTAAGGGAATTATATTAAATGGACTCTACCTTGGAATTTTCAAACGTTTTCTTCATTAGATACTTGAACTGAATAAGGTGATCATTAAAATGAAAACAGCTGTGGATGATCCCTTCCACGGGCGAAAATCATGTGTTATCAAAATGCATATAATCTTCGGAACCTTCCCCCAGTATTCCTCAAAGGAGCATGCGGATGCTTTTCCTTGCTGCTGTGTGTAGAGAGAAATGGAAACGCAGAAACTTCACGGCCTACAGGAGAGTGCAATCGAGCTAATGAGATCTGGATATTTCAAGCATAATAACAACCTCCCATCCAGGCTAGAGGAGACACAGAAGATACAGAACCACAGGAAAAATGAATTCTGATCAATTTCATTTTAGTTTATATTAAATACATCCTGAAACAGCCCAAGGTTATTTCTGAAGAATTTGATTTTATAATTGCGTTATATATGTTTAACTATAGATCTAATTCTCACATTGTTTTGGAGTGTTCAAAACCGATACTAAATCTCTCAAGAAATCTCATTAACCAGCGCCATCATAAAATATAAGTGAGATTTCTGTGGGTTCTTCCCACTGCATCTCCTTTCAATTACCAATTTGGCAAGTGTGAAAAATGGATGGGTTTTAGAAAATGACTTAAGACGATAGTAACTTAACCAAGTGGAGACTTCAATGTTGACTGCTCTTTTAGAAGTTATTTCTCTTTTGGAGTAAAGAAATATCTCAAGAACTTGGTATCTATATAGCTAAAAAGGCTTCCACAAAATGTCTCCATTTTACCCTCAAACAATTATAAGGATATTTTTGCAGAATACTTAGTTCATTGCAGAATACATGTTCAGCTTGATATAGTCTTTGGCATAAAGTAAAGTGTAAAAATATGATTATATTGTTGAAAATACAGATAACTATTCCCTGTAACAGTTTTCCCAATATAAAATTGCTTTTTTAAAAAAATTCAGGTTACATTGACACATAGTATTATGGCATGATGTTCTCTAATTTGCGTACCTGTAGTTTTTACATTTTAGTCTTTTGTGTGTGGTTTCCTTTCAATCATATGTACCTATATTTGCATATATTTTAATCTTTTTATTAAACTAGATTCTTCATTTATATAGTCATTCAAAATATATTTGCTGGTTACCACAATGCGCCAGTCACTGTTTTTATTGCCAGGGTTACATGGAGCTGACTTACGGAACTTAAATTCTTGTGAGTAACAGAATAAAATAAATAGGAAAAATAATACAATTTCATGTAATGGTTAGTGCTGTGAAGGAAAAGAAATCAGAACAGTTAGTGAGAGATGTGTGTAGAAGGCCAGGTGTTTCTGATAGAAACCACTAAGATCTTCTCTGAGGAGGTGGAGTTCAAACAAAAACCTAATCTTTGAATATCTGTAGGGAAAGCATTCCACGCTAGAAGGCAGCAGGTATAAAAGCCCTCGAGTGGAAGTAAGCTTTACTTTTTCAAGGAAGAAACAGGAGCAGTATGGCTGTAGCTAATAGCATGTAGGAGCAATCCTTCTGAAAAGGTAGGTAAGGAAGATTCTACCAATAACATTGGGGGTCTTTTTAAAGCTATGTCTGTGTATACGTGTGATTTGGAAAGATGTTAATCTAATGTGTCATGAAGGCATTGGAGGATTTTTATAAAAGGAGTTATATGGCATGCACAACATAACATCACACAAGTTGTTTTAGAGAACAGACTAAAGTTGCACCAGGGAAACAAGAGATAACAAGGAACTGGAATACAAGGTAAACACACTGGTCCAGGTCAGGGATGCTGATGCCTTGAGATTGAGTTTGGTATTGGAGGTGGTGATAAATTGTGAAATCGGGCAAATAATTTTTCATGTAAGTGACAGGCCTAGCTAATGAGATGTGAGGTGAAAAAAAATCAAGGGTGACTTCAAGGTTTACGTTTGAACATCAAAGTGAATGACAATGTTATGATTAAGAAGGGAGAAACTAGAGAAAGCAGTCTGTATTCAATCTTGGTTGCATTAATTTTATGATGCTTGTTAAACAACCGAATGAAGATGTTGTTCAGCAAGTAACTGGATAAATAGTCTAGAATTATAGAGGATGTTAGCAGTTACTTATGTAGATTTGAAGCTCATTCTTACCTAGATGTTATTGAAAGCCATGAGATTGAATGAGATCACTTAGAGTTGCATCTTGAAACATTCCAACCACAAGCAACCAACCATGCCAACTCTTTTCTTTGTCCATGGGATGCTATTGCCAGTCATGAATAAAATCCCCAATACCTAATATTCTTGCCGTCGAGTTCTTTTCTCCATCATGCTCTTTCTCAATTCATTTGGCAATACAAGGATGATACTGCTCTTTTTCGAGCTTTTCAAATGACGATTGCTTTTTCTCACTTTCCACATGTCACAAGTTTCTGAATGAAAATACGCAGTCATTTACCTGGCATAAATATTTAAGAGGGTAATTACTGGGTGTTATGATAACTTTCCTTTTGGTTTTAAAAGAAACTGACAAGGTGTTTTCCAGAGTAGTGAACTATGTTACATTCTAATCAGCAATGTCTGAGAAAACCAATTTCTCTGCTTTCTCACCAGTATTTAGCGTTATCACTATTTTTTATTTTAGCCATTCTGATAGGTGTGTAGTGATATTTCATTGTGAGTTTATTTGTATTTCTCTAATGGCTAATAATGTCCAAAATTTTTTGTGTGCATGTTGACCAAACATATTTACTCTTCTGTGAAATGCCTGTGTGTGATTTCTGCCCATATTCTGATTGAATTGTTAGCTTTTATTGTTAAGATGTGAGAGTTCTTCACACATTGTAGATCCTGGTCTGCTATGGTCTGAATGTTTGTGTCCTCCCAAAAAGCAGAAGAATTAACATTTCCCTAGGGCAAAAATATAAATCTATACTCTTGTTCATCTCAAATTAATCCAAAACATTTCTGGTACTCCTTTCTGATAGCGATGGGAAATAATACATTGCCCTGATCACTGGCCACTTATCATGTTTCTAACACCATGTTAATCTGCTATAGATGCAAGTGAGCTATTACTTGGACATTAGAGGATATGTCTAGTTTTTGCAGAGGTGGAATTGTGAATTTAATAAGGATATAATGGGTAGTACCCCCCCCCCACCCCCCGCCTTTAAAGGTTACACAACTCTCCATTCCTGTTGGGAAATATTATTATTTTGAAGTACACTCTTGACTTGGGTCAGGGATGATTCCAAAGTCTTCTATTTGGAATTTGTAATTACAATAACTGTTAACCCATAGGCCAAGGATTCAATGTGGGGATCCTGCCAAGTGCCAAATATACTATTCCAATAATATAGGTTTCCCACGTCTCTGAACAATATGTTTCCTTCTCCTACCATTTGCTGTGACAGTATTGGTATTCCTATTTTATTTGGTGCAGGCCCTCTCTTTCATAAAGCTTCTAGGTGCCACTTTAACTATGAATTAGCTCTGTTTCCTGGGGTTTTCGCAAGTATTTTGGTAACTATTTCATGGGAGGATTCACCCACATGAATACGTTTTTCTTATCTAACCTCATGGTCCACCATGACTCACCATCAGGATCAAATGTTCCCTGTGATCTCCCAGATCCCAGCATGCTGGCTAAGTCTTGCAAGTTCATCAGGGTGTAGTTCTTTTCTTCCTTTACTAGGTCCAGCAGTTCTACAGTCTTGTTTTAATGTGATCTAATCACAGTGTCTGATCAGGAAGGGAGGTGGAAGTAGATCTGGAGGGAGTGTGTATTTCCTTGCAAGGCACAGCCATTTGTGAAGAAGGAATTATAGTGTCTTAGATGGTTTAGAAGGATCTTGTTTCAAGATCCATCAGCCTAGAGTTCTCAATTCCAAGTCTCCTATACTCACTTGGTCCCAACTAAGTCAAGACCAACTTAGCCAAGAACTTCATATAACTTGCTTGAAGTGACTGAGAATTCATCCTTCTCTGAAGTTATGCTACTCCTATAAATAAGTCTTGTGCCTGATATTCTGATATTTCTGTGTTCCAGCAAGAGATGGTTGCCTTTATCAGATGCCACAGTAGCTTTCTAACTTTTACTCTTAATCTTCAATTGGTTAACATTCATCCTTGATCCTTCATTGTCTTTCTCAAATGCATTAATGGCACTCAGCAACAGACATCTAACTCAACTGTCCTCATATGTAGTGCATCCACCATAATGTATTTTCTTAAATCTTCCACTAGTATCCCACACCAGTTAACATCTGTGATTTTTTTTAACAATTGCACTGATCGTCTATGTTAGGAGCCTTTATTGATTTACCTACTACAATTAATGGGATCCACATTGCCAGCTAGTGGGTGATCCAGCTCCGAATTTCCATCTAAGAGTCTGCTTTTTTGAGCTGCTCCTGAACACAATTATCAGAGGCCAGTTTCCTAAGAAAGAGGTACTGGAATAGAGATTCTTAAGCAGAAATTTTATTGGAGAGTGCCCTCAAGATCAACACATATATAGGAGTGGAAAAAACAGACCAGGACAGAAGGAAGAGTTGAACTGCAATGCAGTTACAACAAAGGCCTCAACAAACCCTACTGGAAGCTCTGGAGCTGGGATGACCCTTCTCAATTGTCCTTCCTAAAGGCAAGGAGACTGGCATATATACCCACATGAATCACAGTTATTGGATAGCTCTGCTCTCAGTAGGTTCTTGATTGTTCAAGAAGCAACTTTCTTAGGCTGAAAGCAATTTCCAGAAAGGGACTTACCTGAGTGTCCTCAACTTCCAACACTCCCAGCAGCTGGGAGAAAAAGTGTCTCAGTGTGGAGCTTCTAAGAGAATCGTCACCTTCGCTTCCCATATTCAAGTCCGGATCCCTTCCACCTACTCGTTAAGGATTCAGCATCTTTCTCTCCACTGTTAGCACAGGCATTGTTTTTGGTTATTTCACCATCTACATTAACAATCCTCTTGTCAGTCAAGATGGTTTATGCTACACCAGCAATATGCCCCAGATCTCAGTCATTTAAACAATTAGGATGTATTTCTTATTTGATATATATGTGCCCAGAATGGATTGTTAGCAGGCATTCTCATGTTAATTGTTCAAGGGCCGGAACTGAAGAAGAATATTTTCTCTTAGTATTAGTTTGCTGTAGCAGGAAGAGATGGAGGATGGTGGTATGTGCAACGATTCTTAAAGCTTCCACTTTGAAATACAAGTTGTTATTTTTGTGTGTGTTCTTCATTGAACAAAGCTGCTTTCATGGACACTCAAATCTTCACTGGACCCAGAAATGAAATCCTACCATGTAACCAGGAATCATAATAACCAATTGATCCATGAATAGCCCTAATGACTAAAACACTCTTTAACACCATGAGGCTAGTGGCTGTTTCTTAGTTTATCATTTAATTTGCAATAATCTTTTCATCTTTCTTAGTTTAGCCACTCTATGGTAAGTATGCAAGACATTC